AGCTGCTGAGGGTGTCTCTGCTCATTGCTTTATGTTGATTCATTTGTTGTACAAGTCTGTCACTTTATCTCATTCAGCTAGACATTTTCAATGTTGCTCATTCATTTGTTAGCATGATTGCTAACCCAGTCTATTCATATACCAGTGCTATCACTGAACTTCATGATGCAGGATTTAAGGCTCTTAATAGCCTATCATATGTCAGCACATTTGCTGAGCTTCATGATACAGAATTAAGGCTCCCAGTGGCCTATCAATGAAAGAAGTGAAGCAATTCATAATGTAAAGGGTTAAGCTCTAAGAACTAGAGACTAGTCCTCCTATATAACAAGGACGAATTGCTTGAGAAAGGGAAGAAAAGAATGAGATGAGAACTCAAGCTTAAGCAAGCTCACGTAGCATGATCACGTGCGCACATGTGAATGATGGCTAGGCTGAGTCAGCCAGCCAGAGCAAATCTAGGGGTTCAACCCCTTATAGCACATGCATACGTGATTATGCTGCATGTGCACACATGATCATACTATGTGAGCTTGCTTAAGCTTGTGTTCTCATCTCATTCTTTTCTTCTCTTTCTCAAGCAATTTGTCCTTGTTATATAGGAGGACTAGCTTCTAGTTCTTAGAGCTTAATCTTCTACACAATATGACCTTTCTTCTTGCAGTAATAGTACTGAATATCTGGATAGATACTCATAGTTTTCTTTATGATAGAGAGTTTTGTAGCAGAGATGTTAAAAAGAGTCTCATTGTTAAGAGTCTATGAAATGTTTTGCTTGAGAATATTAGATTTATTTTCTCATAAGCTCTTTGACTTCTAAGTGACATTGATTATTTAAAGAGTATAAGCTGCCTGAGCATAAATCTTCTGAAACTCAGTATATATATTGATGATCATATTGACTACTACTATCATCCTCTGAAAATTAAATAATAGCTTGTCATTGAAGTCTATTTTGTAATCCCTCTTGATGATCTTGACCTCATTCATCAGGTGTAAGAATCTTGTGATAAATTTATAATAATTATCTTCATTGTATATAATCAGCTTATGATACTCATTTTTAACATTTTATAACTTGTTAACATTTTTATATATTGATTTGAGATGCTTAAATATCTCCTCTGTAGTCTGATATTGCTCAGAGTGATTCTTCTTTATACAAAGTGCAATATGATATGCTGTGTTCTTATCTATTCAGTTCTCAATATATGCAATCTTCATGTATTCTGTAGAGTAGTAATTAGCATTCTCTTAGAACTTGTTCCTCATGTGAGAAAGTCAATGCTCAAATTTTGACTTCTTATCATCAATGAGATATTTCAGATTATCAATCTTGACAGATCTTCTTATGTTCTCTAAGAGAGTAGTGTCTTGATCTGTTGCTTGATTACTAACTGTTATTCAGATTAAGATATAACTAAGCTCATCACATTCTATAATGAACTTATTAATTTGACTCTGCTTGATAGCTGCTTGGGCTGCAGCATCATTCTGTTCCATTCACAGATGTGTGACTATATTTCTCAGTACCTTCTCATCATCAAAAATGCTGTCAAAGATTGCTACTAATTTATTATAGATATGATTCCTGTCTGAGTAAATTGTCTCTCTGAATTTCTCAACTAAGATGCATAATTGATCAGTCAATCTTGTTAGAATGTATCACCAGTTCTTTTGACCTCTTTCAATAGGTTGAGAGCTCATGATGGCCATCTGATGTTGGATTGAACTGTTGTCTTTAACAGTCAACTTGACATATTGTCAGACTCTCAACTAGCAAATCCTAATTCAACTAAGACACTTGAGTTTTCTGCTAAAACCTGAGTGGGAAGGTAGGAGAAACCTTAGTATTATGTTAGAGAGTGAATGCAAGCTGTATAAGAAGGAAGTTCTCTGCATTGCTAATAGCTATATAATGAAATACTAAAATTGATGAGAAAGGAGTGTTAGAGTCTGCTTAGATTATAAACAGCCCACATGATCATGTGACCGGATCACGGCCGACCCGCTAGGTCCCATGTGGGGCGTTGTCACGTGATGGGGATAAACCTAGCCTCGGCGCCGAGCCTAACACTTAGTTATATGAAAGCAGATCTTTAAACCTGATACAATAGCTGCAGAATAAGCTTAATATGACATATATTTATGACATTCTGACTGAGTTCTTGATGCTTTTAAGCAGTGAATCTCATCACCTTCTTCACTGCAGATTTATGAAGATGAGAATGATTCAGATCATATATCTATTTCTTCTTCTCAGCTATTCTCATCAAAGACAATTCAAAAGCTAAAATATCATATTAATATTATGAAAAATACTATACAAAGTATTAGAAATACTCTCAAATTGAAATCACTTATTTTGACATGTTATTTGAACAAGATATTTAAAGCAAGTCTAATTTATGTGAAATTTAATGAGTAATAGATTACTGAATTAAAGAACTTTCTCAATATTAATAAACACTGCAGAGCTAAAACAACTCATCATCAAATTCAAATAAAAGAAGTTTTTATTATTAAAGATATTAATAGAAAAATCAAGTAGTATAAGAATAATGAAGCTGAAAAAAAGTAAAATAAAAAGTGATAGAGACTTGAAGTTGATCTTATAAAAATTGATAATAATTCATTTATATCAGTGATAGAAGAAGAAATAAATCAATTTAAAGATAACACATATATTGAGAATGATATTGATAATCTTTTTATTATAGATTAGCTACTGATTGTTGATATAGAGTGTAATAATAAGAATATAATTTAAGATTTTTATCATTTTGATATTTTTATCATTTTGATGTAATGTACTCACATGAGATATGAGTTGCGTAGTAGCACAATAAGTTAATAACTAACTAGTTAGTCAATTAATGTAATTCATCTCTGAGTGAATCATCAAATTCAAAAAAGCTTTAACTTTCTAACCCACCTATTTTAACGCGTAAAAATGCTATCAATTCGCAGTAAAAATATCAAAAACTCTATAGAAATAGATAGAAGAATTGAATTTATAATAAAAGCTTTAAAAAATAATAAAATTACCTCAATTTATAAAGCTACATATCTTCATAAGGTTTCACATGCTATTCTATACTATAGACTTAATAGTTAATCTGTACACATAAATTTATATATAAATTCAATCAAATTAACTAAGTCTGAAGAAAATCAGCTAGTTTAGTAAAATCTAGATCTGGCAAAATAAAAAATACATCTTTAGCTAGTATTTGTTAAGAATATAATCAATCATTTTAAACTTCAGCATTTAACCTTCACCTCAATCTCTGTTCTATAAGTTGACAAGAACTGAATCTATAAGTTGATTAAATACTGCATAGAGCTTTATTATCACTATTTCAAATACTATAATTATAAATAAGCTAAATATAAAAATATAAAAGTTATTTAAACTTAATTTAAAACTTTGAAGAATATAATTGCTGAGCATGAGATTCTGTTTGAATATATATACAACTTTGATGAAACTGAGTTTATAATAAAGCTTTATATCACTACTAAGATTATTACTAGTAGTGAGTGCTATGATTGAGCAAAGTTTCTATAGTTTAAAAATCAAAAATAAATGATTGTGATTAATGTAGTCAATATATTAGATTAAGTTTTATCTTCATACGTAATTTTTAATAGTCAGAAGCTATAGAAAGGTTGATTTAATGAGCTTTTAGATGATTGAAAACTTGATATTAGTTCTAATAACTAAACTATAGATGAGATAGAAGTTAAATAACTTATTAGACTATTTATTTCTGCTACAAATTCATATAGAATTGATATTTATCTTCTTCTTATTCTAAATAAACATAGTAGTTAACTTATCTCAGAATTTGACTACATCTACAAGAAGAATAAGATTATTCCTCTCTGTATACTAGCATATTTCTCATATCTCTTACAGTTATTAAATATAAGAGTTTTTATAGTTTTGAAATATATATATAGCAGTTTTATTGAATAGTAAATATGATTTGAATTCAATATTATTAAAAAGATAGACTTTCTAGATATCTACTCTACAGTATATATAAAAGCTTTTAAAGCTCAAACCATTCAAAGCAGCTTCAGAGCTACTGATATAATATCATTTGAATCAGATTGAGTCATTCAGCAGCTAGATATTCAACTCTGAATCTCTATCTTTTTAGCCAGCAGATCAAGTAATTCAATCTCATTCTCAATGCTTTAAACATCTAGCAATTGATAGAAATTGCAATGACAGATCAAGAAGATCAAAAGCTTTATGAATAGAGAGTAATCTCAGGATTTAGTCAAAGATTTTAATCAAATTATCAAGATTTATAAATACAGAATAATCAACATCATTATTATAAAGAAGTAATATCAAGATATATTCAATGCAAATGAGAAAGAGAAGCAAAAATGCAAGAGGTCTGCCTGAAGAATTCAACAAGAAGGAGATTTAATCAGACAGAAAGCTACTCAGCTTGCTATTTTAGCTTCTATGCCTATTGAACAATCAGTTATTCAAATTTTTATGCCTCTATTTGCAGAACTTCAATCATGCTCAGGAGTTCCACAATGATGCAGCAATTGCAATTTCCCTGATCATAAGAGAACAAGATGCCTCAATTCTAGTGTAAATTAATTTAATTTAATAAGGCATTGTTGATATGGATATTTCAGGTTAAATTCTAACTAGTTGAAATATAATGATTTTGGTGGTTCGCTTGGGGTGGATTACGTGTATGATAACTAATTAATGAAAGCTTCTCTCTGGAGAAAGCAGCGAAGATAAGCCAGCGTGGATGGTAGGAGCTAGGCCTAAATGAAACTAGTGTGGCCCAAATAGGGCTAGCGTGGAAAAGGAAAGAGCCCTTGCGCTCTCAAACTAATACTTATTTTCTCCCTACGCTTCATAAATTATTCTTGACAAACCCGGCGATTAATTCCAACCGTTTCCAAAACCTCTCTATCCATGCTAATACCAAAATACCGACAATGTAGCACATGAAAATTCATGAGTAAGGAAAGTTATTCCGGCAAAGGGGACAGCTGCTTGCATTGCTGCTCTTAAACCAACGGAACAAACAATCGGAATGGAAAGTATTCTTGCATGTTGCACACCTCTTATTCGGCGTCTGCATGTTGGCTGAGATGACCGAATAACAGATCGCACATTCGCTCTGACCCTTCAGTGCACCTTGGACATTCTTGCGGAATGCAAGAAGGCCATCGATAAGACTGCCGTTGGAGAACATGATAACGCCTTGGATCGTTAGAAGCCAGCTCCTCCATTTCCTTTCGTCGACCGCTACACGGTGCCGGCCTTCCACAACAGCTTGTTGTAACGGGTATGCAGGCGGAAGAGAAATTGCAATCGAAGTTGGGGGAGAATCTTCTTCCACGTCAATGCTTGCGACGATTTCGGCAGTTCTATGAGAAACTTTCACCTGGAGCGGTTGCTCCTCAGTCGTAAAGTCTTGGGTCGAAACCCAATCGCTGACGCCAAGGAGCGAATCCTCAATAACAAGGGGCGATATCTAGAATCGAATTAGCTGGATTTATCAATATGTATGCAGAATATCCAGAACTTACATGTTTTTCTGTCCATGCCTCAACCTGTCCTTTGACGCGCTTTTTGCTGTCAATCCACCAAGCTTTTGTTAAATTAGGTAGATACTTCAGACATAAGTAGTACAGGTGTATAAGCAGGTACTGCGTTTCCCTCTGAGCTGGCTCAGGTTCGTCAAGGCTAAAAGACCGAACATCAAGTTTCGATGCGTCAACCATCTTTCCATGCGGATGCTGCAGGAAATCAAACATAAATTCGAGAAGCGGGTTCAGACAGTCGTTTTCTTTAATATTAGCCACGTAGTTCTCTCGGACGGATGACGACTAAAAAACGGATCAGACTTTTTCAAGTCATGGAGCTTTTATTAGGGTCGGCTTACGGCGTTATTTAAATAATCGAAAACAGTCTTCCAGCTTAACAGGTAACATCGAAGCCCAATCCATACATTGTCATTGACTATTATCCCACTTATAACATCCATTGTAGGGGCCTCCAAGAGGAGGGAAATCAATTCATCCGGGAGACTGGCGACAGAATGAGACAATGCAACGTTCAAGATCACAGCCTCCTGCAATTTCGGGATCGCCCGATGTAGAATATCGTAGGCAGCATGTTGGATGCTTCTATTAGGAGCCGAGAGAATGGGGAAAAGGTTGTTAATGTCTTCGACATGGTCGATGGGTAAACCTGAGATTTGTCGAGAAAGGATATTTGCCGTAATGTTGAGGGGCTGATCGTAGTTCAACGAGGAATCTATACGTAATGTTAATATAAATAAAAAAAACTTGAAAGAATAAGAAATCTCACCAAACTCCGCGAGCAAATTGATTAATGCTGGTGAATGAGTTTTCAAAGAGGCGATCCAAGCATCTACCAATTCATCGTTGCTTTTGCTTGTCGCCAGCAACTTTAAGCAGGCAAAAAGCCTTAGCGAAGAGTGTAAAACAGGAAGGGATTCGTCGACTATTTCAATCTCGTTCCACACAACCCGTAGAAATTCAAGTATACTCGACCAGTGAGAGCCGTATATATCCTTTATCAACGGCAAAATATTAACAAGCAATTTGAGTATTTCCGAATCCAGACTTTGTAATCGGGGTTCTGAGTCCAAGTAATTGACCAAGTGTTGTACCAGAAACACAAGCCTGGGTTTCGGGACGTTCCGTGAAATATTATTTTCTTCTTGAAGGAGAAGGTTGAGGGTTACGATTTTTCGAAGACCTGAATAGCATTAGCAGTCTATAATTACTATATGAAACAGTGAACCTTACCTTCAAGTGGATTCTCAAGTTTAAACCCAGTGACTTCAGAAATTAATTCATTGCACAATCGAATACCCGATGGAGTGGTTGCTATGGAATTTTTGAACGCGGCTACCACTGAAGGCAAAACAAATGGGTTTGAAGATCCGTCCGTTTGTTTTGCCAGTTGGAGATAAGATTCGGCAGATTGGACCGTTTTTAATGAGTCACTTTCCGTGATAACTTTGGCGAATGTTTCCGCTAGGTTGTATGATTTTGGGGAATCGCCTTGCAGCAATTTGAACTTCTGTTCCCAGAGAACAAAAATATTTGGTGCACTGGATTCCTCCTGGTCCATCGTAAACGTTGCAGACTGAATCCAGTCCTTAACTATAAGGCGAGCTTCTGAAACTAGATCTGCACATTCATCCCGAATGTCTGATACATCAAGGTCAAGTAAGCCCTTTGAACCCTCCAAGCTCACGTCATCATCAACTAATTGGACCGCAAGAGGAAAATAGAAAAACAATACTTCGCGGAGGCCTTGCTCCACATACTCCACACTGGTTGATGAAAGTACTTTTGTAACGTAGAATGTAAGTCGGAAAGCAGAAGAGAAGTGGTAGACGTCAAAAGGAACCGAATTAAGTTCATCTAAAAGGCCGCGAGGCAAATATTTATTCGCCAAAAATACTGCCCCTGCAAGCGCATTGATTATAGACGCAGACGTCCTCAAGGGTTTTCGAAGGAATGGATCCAACGCTTGATTCCATTGATCTCGAGTGGGCAATAAACGGGACAATATTCGCGGCTTGTCTTCTATAGGCGTCTTCGAAAGGACCTCCTCCGCAATACTAACCAAGGCGTCAATGCTAAATACGTTGTTAGTAAGGAAATTTCCTCTCCAATCTCGATGGGCTTACTTACGACAACGATTCTTTCCCCACGTTACTAAAATTCTGCTGGACAATTTCGACAGACGACCGGGTGCTACTCTCTCCGTTTATTATATCCTTGATATGTTTCTGTAGGGAGTCGGCAAGTTTAGAAACTTCGTCCGTTGAGGACTCTGCGATATACAATATCCTAGAGACCAGTCGCAAGCCATCTTGACTGTTTACAAACGATCCAATAACCTCTGGACTCTCCAAGGATATCTGAAAGAGGCCATAAAGGCCTTCCCGAATATTGCTATCGGAAGACAGACTATCAATGAGTGAATTTAAAATCCGATAAGCGATTCCACTTTGTAGGGCTCGGTTATTCGTCAAAATAATAATGTCCATCCAGGCTTCTCGCGTAGTATTCAATGCTCTGTTTAAATCTTTCATGATTAAGAGTTCCATATTTGGGTGTGCTTCAGCATCTGGGAGAGTAATGCAGGAGAATAGTTTTTGGAGTCCAGGGAACGTTGAATTTCCAAGATCTGCCTCGAGGAACGTCTCAATGACATTTTTGATGCCATCGTCAAACCCTTGTTTGCCACGACACCCAAATAAGGTGGAAACAAGGCGATTCGCTGAGGGCGAAAACAAAAGTTTGGGGACATCTTCGCTGAGAAACGCTCCCAGTTCTTCAACTTGAGTGGCTATTTGAGGGACTCTGGCAATGGCTTCATCAATCATCGCAGCGGCACCGTATGGTTTTCCATTTCGATACCTCAAAAGCTCCAACGAAGCTTGTAGCAATGGCATGGTTGTGTCTTCGAAAATGTTCGAGATGAATGATAGATGGGCGCGGTCGGATACCCGAGCTAACACCTGTGCTTCCAGATCAAAAAAGCGAATTGCTTGAGCACAGATTGAATCTTGGGACTCTTTGAACCCGCTAGACCTTTCAGGAGAGGATAATTTGATAGCTTGGATTACTCTCTCGGAGATATTTATCCAGAGATCGCGAAGAACTTCCGTGCCAGTTTGTTCAGCCAGCGCATCAAACGACTTTACACATAAATCCGGACCAAATTTCCCTTGCAGTGTCCATTGGCTTTTATCAGGCTGAGCAATTATGTACTGTTCCAAAAGAGGTGAAATCTGAGTTTGAAGGAATCTGTGGCGAGTTGTTTTATTCGAGATAAAGGATGACATCCACAAAGTTGTGTCGATAAAGCATGACCAGGCAGCACCAAGATTACCTCTTTGTTCTTCACGACCTAGAATAGAGTCGTGGATAGCTTCTACTAAACGGGTTGCATCTTGCACCGTGCTATCGTCACTCACAGGCTTCGTTATTAAGACTTCAGAGGGGATAGACTTTAAAATAAGATGTAGGTTTTGCCAATAAGCAACATCAGCCCCTTCTGATCCCTTTCTAATATACTGATAAAGTCGTTTTACAGCGGAGGTTTTGCCAGAATAGTCAGCTGTCCATATCTGCGAGTGTTCCGTGGTCAAGCTTAACAGGACATTGGAGAAGTCAAAGGCAGACCCTAGTTGACTTTTCGGGAGTGCTTTCGAGAGAAAACAAGTGCTGATTGTTTTCCAATCGATTAAATTTCTCTCCATAGAAAGCAAAGTATGGAGAAGCTCGTATATAGATCGGCGGACAAAAGGATCTTCATGGCATGAGAACAGCCAAAGCGATTTGCTGCCAATAAGAGTTGTTATGGAACCGGAGTCCTTTTCAAGTTGAACGGAAGTAGATCTAGCTGTTACATATTCAGTTCTACCATTTGTGCAAGATCAAAAGAAAAATTCCAACTCACCTAATAGTTGGTTGAGCACACGTAAAGCTGTGGCGACGACTCGGGCATGCTTTGCTTCGGCCTCATCGGGTCTAACTGTTCGCTCATCACTCAGAGTCTGAGGGGTTTGTTCGAGAACGGCATCTATAACAAACGCGAAAATTGAAGATTGGTAGATCTTCCACAGGCTTTGCCTTTTTTCTTCAGTTGGGAAGGCTCTAACGATGGACTCTTGAGCCGCTTTGGATGCCAATTTATCACTGTCGTAGAGACCGGCAAGCCATGCACCAACTACCTTTGGGATATAAGGAGCTATCCTCCTCCCCGATAACGACACAATGCAACCTTGAAGGATATGGGCTAGTTGTCGAACCCTGCGAGAAATATCTATTGACATACGTGGATATATTTTCATCTATTCATAAGACAGCCTATCATTACTACATGGTCAATTGTTTCCAATAGGAGAGAAAACATACCCAAGCTTCTATGAGACCATCTTCTAAACTACCACTCTCAGTACCTTGCGCACGTAGGAATTCATGTAATTCCTCCAGCGCCTTCGTCTTTGTGGTAGTATCCCTCTTCAGAAGATTTTTGAATGAAACTACCACTTGCGACTGAGATATTTTAGAAAGATCTGGCGGCTCCGCGACGTATGACAAAGAGAAAAATAAGCTTCCTTGGGATGCAAAATTGTTTGAGAATCCTCCAAATGCGCCCACAGAGCTCGCAAATGCCCCAGACGCAGCCCTGCTGCTCGATGCTTGGGACTTGGCTTTTTTACTCATGATGCTGGTAGGCTGGTCGACAGGGACGTAGTGAGAAAAGAATATTTCAAAATATACAACCCCACACCCTATCTAAAGAATAGAATAGAAAGCCATGGATTCACAAAGGAGCGTGTGACTCCATCCGCAACAGGGATGATGATAAACGAAACCAGCCTCTTTATCATTGGCAGTATCAACATCTGCGCCCGGAGTCGTTGTTCGTTGCCTTGCCGTCTTGGTCTTGGGCTCTTTGCCTCACAAATAAAATTCATATCTGTGAGCTGGCTGAAGTCCCGTGACCTGGCGTCGCACTAGTTAACCATTCTCCGGATTTGTAACGCGTTTGAGCCTCATTCCGCGATAATTCCTTGGCAGAGGTTCGCTGTCACCGTATCCTGTTGTTGCTATCTCTCATCGGGCGCCAGGGAGGTGGTCATTTTGAAGGGGAAAAGCCTCCTGCGTTCAATATGAAGTTCTTTATTGAGTATGATGGTCAAATTCCCTATTTGTGGAACCTGGGAATTTGTCCATGACCGCTAACTCAAATTTTGTGGTAGTGACCTGCCTGTTCTATTCCCATACCCTCGCATATATCCTGAACAATATGCGTACATGTGCGATCTCAAAAAGACGCTGGATGCCGGTGGGCACTGCGTTCTGGAGATGCCGTCAGGCACTGGCAAAACTGTCTCACTTCTTTCCTTGATTATTGCATACCAGCAGCATAAACCCGAGCAACGAAAACTCATATATTGCTCTCGGACAATGTCCGAGATCGAAAAGGCTTTGGCGGAGTTAAAAGCTCTTATGAAATATCGTGCTCAGCAGCTGGGATATACTGAAGACTTTCGAGGTCTTGGTCTTACAAGTCGAAAGAATTTATGTCTTCATCCCTCTGTGAAACGAGAGAAGAGCGGGACAATTGTAGACGCTCGATGCCGAAGCATGACAGCAGGCTTTGTAAAAGAGAAGAAGGAAAGGGGAGAGGATGTTGAGTTGTGCATATATCATGAGGTTTGTTACTCCTCACCATAATTTTATCTATGCTCACCCATCTAGAATCTTGATCTGCTTGAACCAAGTAATCTTGTCCCGCCTGGCGTTTTTACACTTGACGATATGCTTAAATACGGAGAACAACATAAGCAGTGCCCCTATTTCTCCGTCCGTCGTATGGTATGATCACTTCAGCATATTTGTATGGAGTGCGGGGTTTGCTAACTTCCCGCAGATGCCGTTTTGTAACGTCATAATATACTCCTATCACTATCTTCTCGACCCAAAGATCGCCGAAAGAGTTTCGCAAGAATTGTCAAAAGACAGTATCGTTGTCTTCGATGAAGCCCATAATATTGACAACGTCTGTATCGAATCTTTGAGTATTGATTTGACAGAAGATTCGTTACGAAAAGCTAGTCGTGGGGCAAACAACCTTGAACGTAGAATTGATGAAATGAAGAGCTTGGATGCAGAGAAGTTACAGAACGAATACCAGAAGTTAGTTGAAGGCCTGAGGGAAGCTGATGAAGCTCGTCAAGAAGAACAACTCATGGCCAATCCTGCACTACCCGACGACCTTCTGAAAGAAGCCGTTCCGGGAAATATTCGCAGAGCAGAACACTTTGTAGCTTTTCTAAAACGATTCATCGAGTATTTAAAAACTCGAATGAAAGTCACCCATACCATATCCGAAACACCTCCTTCTTTCTTGGCTCACTTGAAGGATTTGACCTTCATTGAGAGAAAACCTCTACGATTTTGTGCGGAACGTCTGACATCTCTCGTCCGGACACTGGAACTTATGAACCTTGAAGACTACCAGCCTCTCCAGCAGGTTGCTGCGTTCGCTACTCTGGCAGCTACATATGAGAAGGGCTTTCTTCTTATCCTTGAACCCTTCGAATCGGATACCGCAACCGTTCCGAACCCTATACTCCATTTTACATGCCTGGATGCTGCCATCGCCATAAAGCCAGTTTTTGACAGGTTTAGCTCAGTCATCATCACTTCCGGAACACTTTCTCCCCTGGAAATGTATCCTAAGATGCTTGGCTTCACAACCGTGCTACAAGAGTCGTACAGTATGACACTTGCTCGCCGGTCATTCCTTCCAATGATCGTTACACGTGGATCTGATCAAGCACAGATATCCTCCTCATTTCAAATTCGGAATGACCCAGGTGTAGTGCGAAACTATGGAAACTTGTTACTCGAATTTTCTCGTATAACGCCAGATGGAATTGTCGTCTTTTTCCCGTCTTATCTCTACATGGAATCCATTATCAGCATGTGGCAAGGTATGGGTATATTGGATTCTATATGGAATTACAAGTTAATTTTAGTGGAAACTCCCGATTCCCAGGAATCTTCCCTTGCCCTCGAAACTTACCGAACTGCATGTTGCAATGGTCGAGGCGCAATTCTACTTTGTGTGGCCCGTGGTAAAGTTTCTGAAGGAATCGATTTTGATCATCACTATGGTCGCACGGTGATTTGTATTGGAGTACCTTTCCAGTATACCGAATCTCGCATCCTCAAAGCTCGATTGGAATTTTTACGTGAGAATTACCGGATTCGTGAAAACGATTTTCTTTCCTTCGATGCCATGCGCCATGCTGCGCAGTGTCTTGGACGGGTCCTTCGTGGCAAGGACGACTATGGAGTCATGGTGCTCGCGGATCGCCGTTTTCAAAAGAAGCGTGCACAGCTCCCCAAATGGATAAGCCAGGCCATGCTCGAAAGTGAGACGAATTTGAGTACTGATATGGCGATGGCAACAGCGAAGAGCTTCCTCAGGACTATGGCACAGCCGTTCAAGTCAAAAGATCAGGAAGGGATTTCGACTTGGAGTATAGCTGATCTCGAGCGTTATGTGAAGAAACAAAGGGAGGAGGAAAGCAAACGATACAGTGAAGCGATAGCCAATAACCTGGAAGAGGTGACTAACGGAAATCAGAATCGAAATGGAAGAGTGATCGCTATGGATGAATTCGACGAAAATATTGATGAAGAACTTATGATGCTTGATGCCTGACGTGAATTGGATTTTTTTTACTTCCCTTTTTTATCTTTTCTTTTCCTTCTTCTATTTTTTTTTTTTTTTTTTTTTTTTTGTTTTGGTAAGTGTGTGTGTTAAATACATCGTCGTCATGGGTTTAAAGGTCAAGGACTGCATTAGTGGGAGATACCATCGGGTTTGGTTGGCGTTATATTGGAATCTAGCTGTGAGGTCCGAAATACCTGTATTATTTGAATTACGCCCTCTTTATGTCTAAATATTAAATAAATCTTAGAATGTTCGGCTCTGCTAGTATAAGTGTGCCGATTCTCGTAGAACTTTTCCTTGCCAAATATATCGCGATAACAAAATCAACCTCAGAAACACGCCATATACGCTAACAAAGAATACAAGACCTATTTCAAATTTCCAGACAATCACATGTGTAATAAACCAACGAGGGCTTGCATCGCAACGGTCTTGCATAGCCACTTTCAGCCAACAGGGGCAAGTACATCAAAGGCACCAGTGCCAACAGTTCCAACACGTCCCATGACAATCCTACCACTGGGGCCATTGAGGTTATCCCAATCCCTCTCAAGCACCGCATCTCTCAAAAATCCAACAGTAGTTTCGAAACTCATCTTCATCAACGGCGAGGTGTTATCCTTGACCAGTCCCATGCGGTTAAATGCGCGGAAGCCACCAGCGTGAGTCATAACATCACCAATAAGATTCAAATGCCGGTTATCGACTGAGATACTATGGCTGTTGAAAACTGTAGCCATTTCACGAATGATAGATGCACGTGCAGCCTCGACTCCGTACCAGACTAGCATGTCGGCGATTGAATTGGTGTATAGAGTGTGAGGGTTGACAATATGTTGGTACTCTCGCATGGCTAACAAATTGACGCCGTCGGTGATGACGTGGGCTGGATTATCTTTGTCGGTCTCGACGTAAGTACAGATCCCAAGCCTGGGGATGTTCTGAATCAAAGAAGCTCTGGCAGCGCCTTCGACGAGTGGAAGGAGCAGAAGCTTGGGTATTGAGATATCGTACTGTAGCTGAATGTGGCAGGATTTACCATTCTTTAGGCTGAATTTGAACTTGGTAACTTCAGAATACTTGCTGATGACAGTGTCCTCGCTCTTTTTGCTTTTTTGAATCTTTTCTAAGTCGGAGTCGCCATCTGCGTCTTCCATGTCGACATCCTCCCGGGCAGCTGCAGCACCCTGGCGGTCCCCGTCGGTCTCCTCATCAGAATCCAACTCCTGGGAATCCTGTCCACGGATAATGTCTTCCTCTCCTTCGTCGGGGGCTTCGTAAGAAACTTGATTCGAACGATTCATGTGTGCCATAGCCCTTTTCGCATCGTCTTGGTCCTCCGCATCATCGTCGTCATTAGTATCTGCGTCAGCGTCTCTGGCTTCACGCCCAAACCGTCTCGTAGGCTCTTCCATAACTCTAGCGGAGACACCGATGTCAGGTTGAGCAGCAGAGAAGGTTGATAGAGATTTTTCAGCTGTCCGTCTCTTCAACTCTGCCCGTGTTAATTTAACAAGACGGGGCACAAAAGTATTCTGAAGTGTCTTAAGAATGTCTTCAATTTGGATGGCATATTCTTCAGTGTACTCTTCAGGAGGAAAAAAATCTATTTCCAAGTCATAGATCTTTGCCTTCGCACGTCCTGATCCAGACGAGATACGCTCATGGACTCTGAGAGAGTCAACAACTTCCGCAAGAGACAGCCTGCTGATCCCTTTGGCGAACATTCTTCCATCCCGTTCCGAAAGACTCCGATGAAAGATAGCAGTCATTGTTGGTGTAAGGATTTGACTACTCGCTGTCATAACAATTTCACGTAGCCGGGGAATACCAAGTGTCACATTTTTCGTCGAGTGCCCGGCCAGATGGAAAGTGTTGAGCGTCATCTGGGTAGACGGCTCACCAATAGACTGTCCAGCAACAATGCCAACGGATTCACCCGGTTCCACGACCGATCTCATATATTTCATATTCATCACTTTGGCGAAACTACCTTTGGAAATCCCATCCTCAACCTTACCCTTCTCCCTCAGTTGCTTATCGGGGTTTTCTTTTTGATACTAGTAATGGTACATGTCAGTCTATGAGATTCAAATTAAACCGTTGTACGACTGATTATTTACCTTTCTCAACGCCATCGCGAAGGTTTCTGAGGTACTGCCGTAGCAAGATCCAGGAACGAAGATGGACAGTGCAGGGTCTATACAGTCCAATTTGCGAGTCTTTCTAAATTTTTTGATGGCATTTCGATTCCATTCTGCTGCAGCATCACTACCGATTCTAGTGAACTCGTCAGAACCATTGAGCTCTTCGAGGACAGTCCAATAGTTCTGAGCCAAAAAAGAGAAATCCTGCAGATGTTTCTGCTTGGTAATTTCAAGACCATCTTCGCCGTAAAGAAACTGGATAACCGATCCATCTGAGGTTTCGCGTACAGAGTTGTCGTATTCTGCCTTCAATCCTTCCATTCCCTTAATCAAGCACCGCTGGAGATATCCGGACCTTGATGTCTTAACAGCAGTATCGATAAGACCTTCTCTACCAGCCATGGCGTGGAAATAATACTCCTGGGGTTTTATTCCTGTCAGGAAGCGACCAGAAATATAACCTCCAGCCATGAGACTAGTCTCAAACGGTTTGAAAGATGGCAAAGTTTTCCCGCTGATCATCACAGGCACCCTGCGGCCTTCGAGAATCTGCTGGCCTAAATTGCAAGAAATTAGATTTGCATTGACCACTGTTCCCTTAGCTCCAGATGTTGTCATGGCTTGCATTTGGTTCCACGGGAACGGCTTCTCAAGCCCAAGCGGAAGGCAAGCAGCAGAAATTTCAGAAGAGACAGTGGCCGCTTGTGAGCTGCAAACAGCGTCTAATCCAGCTTGCTTCTCATCATCACGGAGCGCATCTTCCAGGCGTCGTTTAAGTTCGGCCTCTTCATCATCGACTGGATTTATATCCAGAGTAACATATTTCAATGCAATTTGACGACCTAAGCTTTCGGCTTCTTGCAGTATCATTTTCCGATCCTCGTCTCCTTTCTTGGTTAGGCGAAGATCATCCATACCGCAGGTGAAAGCTCGCATGTGTAAAAATTTCGTCAATAAACGACCTATGATACCTATCAATTTGCCGGCAACAACGTGCCCATAAAGTTCGTGAACGGAATGGATGAGGCCGCTTGGGCTTGGACCAAGTTGAGCCTTGTCGAGGATACCACAGAGAAGCTCGCCATCTTGAAAAATAACTTGCCCTTCCTCTGAACCCTTTCCCCAGCAATCTCCTCGAGTGGAAGATTTCCCCGTCAGATTCAAACCGTGGAATTTTATTGGTGTAATATTCAGCATGATCGTGGAAATGATTTGCTTTCCGGTCCAAAGCTTCTGTGGTCGTTGAATTGCCGGTTCCATAAGCACAATCTTTTCTATAACGGTGTGGGAGTTCTCAGGTCGCAAGCAACTGTATAAGAGTTGATGGTAGTCTTCTTTATCAAAAAATGTATCGCGACTTGTAAACCATACTCCCATTGAAATATGATCCTGGATCAAACCTCTAAGTGGTTTTCCAGAGGTAGCTGACAGGTATTGATGATCAGTATCGGCTAGTTGCATCGCCTCCGCTCTTGCGATTTCATTCTGGGGGAAGTGCAAGTTCATCTCGTCACCGTCGAAATCCGCGTTATAGGTATTACAGTTTGCATAATGCATCCTGATTGTTCTCTCACCGGTAAGTACTCGAGCACGATGGCCCATTATAGAAGGTTTGTGGAGGGTTGGTTGCCGATTCATAAGAACAATATCACCAGTGGTCAAATGCCGATAGACCTTTTTGTTTCTTGATCGTTTTATCTTGAAGTTTGACGGAGAGAGCAACATATTTGCGATGGCTATTCGTTCATCAACACCTTTAAATTTCAGACTCACTACCTGACCGATCTCGTTCTCAACAGCAGCAGCGCCAGGGTATATGTCAGGTCCATTTATTACAGCTTGTTTGAGTTCCCTATAATTATGGTTTGTAACAGGTTCCGGATAGGTGAGTTTCTTCGCAAAAACAAGAGGAACTCCGATTTCATTTGTTTCAATATTAGGGTCGGGAGATATAACGCTTCTTGCAGCAAAGTTGACTCGTTTTCCCATCATGTTTTTTCGAAACAATCCATCCTTTTTTTCTAACCTCTGCTTGATACCGTCCTCATTTTGCATGGCCGCGGCGCCTTGGTTCGGATTTTTATCGCGATCTATGAGGCTGTTTACCGCATCCTGGAGCTGTACAATTGTCTGAAGGAGATCCCTGTAATCTCGTAGTCTGGTAGATGACTCAGTGCTATCACCCTGTCGTTCTCTGCTGATTTGATTTATTTGGTCGCAGAGTTTGAGAATCCTAGTGAATGAAGTGTTCTGTTGCGCCTCGATGATGTCGCTCGATCCACTAGCCGCTATTGGTCGATATTTGTTTGGTGGCACAAGAATGGTCTTGATGAAGAATAGATCCGGACTGACGCGTGGGCGATGCTTTGATCTAGGGCGTGAGTCGTAAACCAGATTTAAAACTTCTTGTTCCCTTTCAAAAAGAAGTCGCAGCGATGCATACACTTCTGGGGATGGCATGAATTGCTGCGCACCCTGGTCACTAGGCTTGTTTCGAGATCCCCTCTCTTCAACCTGTGCCAACACAGCATTGCCCATAGTGATCTGCTGTTCTGCACCATGAGAATCGGTAGAAACGCTGGCATTATCATCATCTGGGAAACCATTCATGTAAGAATTGCCGTGCTTTTTGGACAGGTCATTTGCTTCCTTCATGAGCAATAACGGATTAGGGATATGAAATCCGGCTTCGGTCATAGCAATTTTGGCCTTCTGTGGCAATGGCATTTTAAATATCTTCGAGTACTTGTCTCTGCGAAACGGAGGCGAAATGCTAAATACATGGATTAGTTAAGAGAATGACTGCCAGAACATTATTACTTACCCGCTGCAGGAAGCACATTTCTTGACAGCTGTGATATCCTTAAGAAACGCTCTCACAATATCCCTCCGCCGTTCTATAGCAACGGGATTCTTCACGCCATACAAAAAGTTCTGATCTTTGTTTCTCATTTTCACGTTGTAGATACACCGTTTAACATATGCATCCTGACGTCTGATAAAATCCTCCTCGTCTTCGTCCTCGCTATCTTCTGATCCCGATACGGGGTTGCCTTTACTTCGAGACCCCATGCCATCAATAGCCGCAGCTTCCTCAATCAAGCCATATTGTAGAAGTCGCATTTTGCAAGCATAAGACTTGATATCAACTCTAGACATCCGAAACCGATGGCAATAGACACATTGAGCTCTAAGAAGGCGAAAGAGTTGATCAAAGAAAGTAACGTTGTAGACATGAACAGGGAGTTCTATATGTCCGGAATGGCCATTGCAGGACCATGAATTAAGTCGGCATGTTGTACATCTAAAAGCTTTCAGTCAACAACCTAACACAGGAGAGCATGAGGAAAAGAAAAACAAAACGGAGCGACTGCATACACATGGTCTCCCCATGCTCCAAGAGCTGGGTCATACAACCCTCCAGGTACAGGATTATTCAGTGAATCGAGAGCAGGAGTGTTGTAGATCCGCTTAATAGAAATTGTTTTAATCTCCTCATCGGAGAGCACTCCGAAATCAATCTCCCCAATCGACGAACAAACGGGCCGCGCGAAACTTGACATCGCCTCACAATATTTCTGAGACTGGAATTGCTTGGCAGTCAACTGTTGAGCAGTGTCAGGAGTTGACTGCGTCAACCGTTGAAGATGTGTTACTGCTACGTCTTGGAGCGAATTAATTTTGAGACGCACTCTTTTTCTGCTGCGGCTGACCGCTTTTAACTTCACTTGTTCCTGCCAACATCACAATCTCAGCCTCCACCACTCCGAGCAACTGTACAACATCAGCTACTCTCTCACACATCTACTAAGGGTCCACTGTTGTTCCAACTCGTCGATAAATCCCTTTTCGTGACTGAGTTACCCAGTATTTTAGTCATGGCGGACGCAGGCAATGTGCTGAAGCGACCGCACCCCGAAAACGATGAAAGCAATCTGCAGAAACGATCGCGCTCCAACAATGGCTCCCCTATGCCCGGTAACGGCAGCAAAGGGGGCATTAGCAAGGAAGAAATTGATAGGATGGTGGCTGAGGCGTGTGCAAAGGCAGAGGCTGCTCGAGCGAAAATGCAAGCCAAGAGAGGAGGAGGCACTCCCATAACAGCGACACAGTCAGCTTCACCAACGACTTCGTCATCTGGCGTAGTTAGCCCAGCGCTTTCGAGACTGGAGCAAATGAAAGCAAGGGTAGCAGCAGCTACGGGAAGGGTAAATTCTACAGCCCAACAACGAACGCCTACTCCGTCTACATTTATGCCTCCAGTTCTTGATGATGGGTTATCCCGGGCAAAAGGTGGCTTAGACGTTGGTCTGCATCCCGCTCTACTAGGTGACACTACTCAAGATTCGAAATCGTCGAAAGGCAAACAAGCAATGCAGCCTAAGTTTGCGACTACCATGGCAAATCGTCGAACAGAGTCGCCGGTCCCTTCATTCAAGTCTGGCAAACAAAAAGCACAACTCGACCTGACCGCGCCCTCACTAGAAGAAACGAAGAACAACCCATATTTTGATCCCAACCTTGGCGCGAAAAGTGCTATGGCGAGACCTCGTCAGTCACGACAGTTAGTATTTAACCAAAAAGGGAAATATATTCAACAAGCAGCAGCGCTTCGACGTCTAGCTCAGCTCGAGATTATGAAAAAGAAAATTGCCGAACGCGCACGCCAAGCGGGTGTAGATGAAGACTTGGATGCAGAGAAAGCATTTTTAGTTCCTGCTCCTCCCGCGATCGAATGGTGGGATGAAGGCTTGGTCAATGGTTCGGATTATTCCGTTATTGATGATCCACAAAACCTCAAAGTTGATACTCCAGACACTGTAATCTCTATATATATTCAACACCCAGTACTCCTCGACCCTCCACAGGATAAAAACATTCCAGCACCAAAGCCAATGTTCCTTACGGCAAAAGAGCAAGCCAAAATCCGTCGACAGCGACGGATGGCAGACCTTAAAGAGCAACAAGCCAAAATTAGATTGGGACTAGAGCCAGCTCCACCACCAAAGGTCAAAAAATCAAATCTTATGCGTGTTCTTGGTGAGGAAGCCGTCAAGGATCCAACTGCCGTCGAAGCTCGCGTCAATCGGGAAATCGCCGAACGATTTGACAAACATGTGTCAGCCAACGAGTCACGCAAGCTGACGAAGGAACAACGGCATGAGAAACTCGCCACACAACAGGTTCATGACGCAGCAAAGGGTATATATATGTCGGTGTATAAAATAGACAGTCTTGCCAACGGCCGACACCGGTTTAAAGTCAGTAAAAATGCAGAACAACAGAACCTGTCAGGAGTGTGCATTATGCATCCAAAGTTCAACCTCGTGATTGTCGAGGGCGGCCATCATTCTATAACTGCCTACAAGAAGCTCATGTTAAATCGCATTGACTGGTCTGAAAATACACATCCAAACAACGATCGTGAAGCGCTGGCTTCGTGGCTTGCTGCGGAGGATGAGAAAACGGGGGAACTGAAGGATTTGAGCCAAAACACCTGTTCGCTAGTTTGGGAAGGGGAAGAAAAAACTCGAGCATTTAGAAAGTGGCTCGGGGCGCGTGTGTGTGAAACAGACGCTGCTGCGAAAGATGCATTAACGCGGGTTAAACTAGAGAACTTTTGGACATTGGCGAAGAGTCTGAAAGCTGGGACGACATGATGAATCTAGGATCCTTGTTTTATTATAATTTGTTTCCAAGACATGTAAATTCTTAAGCAGCTTTGCGGTACCATGGTCTTCAGATTTCAAATAGGAGCTCTCGAGCTCGCCCAGGCCAACCTTTTACAACCTCAGAAAGGGTTAAATAATGAAAACATGTTAATATTTCAAGTGTGGACACAGCAGAATATTCAGTGCTAAAACCAACCAGTCGTCTCCAACATCAACGATTGTTATATACGTAGGTCATAGTAGAATCAATGAAGCCATCAATCAACCTACAATTCAAGCAAAATAAAATCAACCATCGCTTTTGTCCATAACCCAAATTTTGAAAAAACCCCCGTATATCCCAGATGTAGAGAATGGAATGCGCTTGTATCCTAACATCCCACCAAACAAAGGAACAAAGCAGAGCAGGAAGAAACAATCCAGGGCCAAAAAAATGGGCAAAATCTCTCCCCCGAGCATGAATATCCAATCTTCCCCCAAGATTAAATCCTAATATTAACCACAATTAAGTGTGGATGGAACAACATAGATGGAATGAATGTATACCATACATTAAAGAATTCTATACAAGGAAGGATTCAGGAAAGCACGTGAGTTACGTAGTTTCGGATATGTAGAAGAGGTATTCAAATCTCACGAAAGATGGAAAGTTTGCGTTTCAGTATGCCCATCATTCAAGAGCCACCCGTTCTCAACCTCCTTAACAGATCCAACTGAGCCTGTGCGGCAGCGAAGGTGTCAGCTGAGGATTGATTTGAGGATACTTGAGCTGAGTATGCACCTTGTTGGGTTGGTGGTTGGTTTTGCTGCTGCTGCTGCTGCTGCTGCTGCTGGAAATTGGGGAAGAAGGCCGGGTTTATATGGGAACCTGGTGGTGGAAAAGGTGAGGTTTGGGCTTGTTGTGAAGACTGGAATGAAAGCGATTGCTGAGCTGGCGGAGAGTGGAAAGGAAAAAATGTTTGGTTGGTGTTGTACATCTGAGGAGTGTGGTTTGGTTGTTGATATTGATAAGGGGGGTAGAAAGGTAGATTGTAGGGAGCTTGCTGCTGGTAGGGATTCTGCGGTTGATGTGAAGTTTGTGGAGGATGGAACTCAGCAGATTGCGGAGGGTAGTTGCTTTGCGATGGTTCTTGTTGCAGTTGTTTCTCTGACTGCGGTTGTGGCCGCGACTGTTGTTGGTGGCGATCATCTCTGTGCTTCTGGTGGCCCCCGCCTCTCCCGCGTCCTCGCCCTCCACGATCAACCCCTCTGCCTCCGCCTCCCCTGGAGGCCCTCTCCGCAAATTGCTTACGTGGTTGAGATTCCTCTAGAGGTCTTTCACCATAACCTATCATTTTGTGGTAACTATTCGGCCGAGACAAAGGGGTATAGCCTTCTTCTGCACCAACATCGTCGTAGTTTAACTCCGAGTTTCTAAGTTCCGATGGACCGGGGAGATCTCTTCTCAGCTTTCCATGTCCATTTGCATCACGTCGCCCATCCTTCTTCTGTTGACGCTTTTGCTTCAGTAGTCGCTTGTACTCAGCTTCCGCCTCATCGTCTGAAAACTCGATTTCCTCATCTCCAACCTCTTCATCATGGAAATTAGAAGCATCACTACCCTTAAGTCCCTTTAGAGGCTGTGTGAACACAAATGTAGAATGATCCATAACGTAAAAAACAGGCGAACCGCGCTCCAGATTTGCCGCCTTTATCGATTCCTCATTCGGGAATCGAACTGTGTATAATGGCTGCTCTACTCTTCCTAAGATTTCGGATACTACACCAATGACACTTAGATTAGCAAGGCAAAGGACCGAACCGCTCTCCAGCACTTGATATTCTCCAGAAATATTTGCTTTGATAACGACCACATTTTCCACAATTGTTTCCACGTTCCCAAGGACTTCTACCTTCATATCGGGAGTGACGGTAATGTCAGGTTTAGGTACGATTTCTTCCGGCTTCTCATTTGCTGTCCTAACTTGTCTTCCTTTATGTTTTCCATCTCCTTCATCGTCCGAAGCGCCCTCTGTCGCCATTAGTATCCGGGCTTGTTCCTCTGGGTCTAGTAAGTCATACTCCTCGCTGCTGTCTTCATCATCGCTACCATCAGAAGACGAGGATGAGGAAGAAGATTCATAAGGTGAAGAGTCCATCTCCCACTCGGGATTTTCGCTATTGTCGGGGCCAATTTCCGCACCTCCTGTGTTTCTTGGAGCACCTCCAGATAACCCTCCGGATACTCCGTTCTGCGTTGGTGATATTGGCTCACTATCTGTCGTCAAAATGGCAGCGACGGCATTGGGCTTGGATTCTTCCGAAAAAGTATGATTCTGATCTTGTACTTCTCCTTCATGGTGCTGCACAACAGGGCTTGTATCTCCCATTTTTACATCATCCGGTGGTGTAATTCGTTGATTACATTCGCGCGAAGTTTCAGCGGGCTTAACCCCAGAACATGTCGATTTGACGATACCGCCACGATCCGTAGACCCAATCCCTTGGGGCGCCACAGTTGCATTGTCCCTATTCAAGAAGACGAGTCCAGGTATTGTCGGTGCAGGTTTCAGCGGTGTAGGCGCGACAGTAGTGTTACTATCTTCGGCGCCCCAGCTCTGAGCATTATTGACCGGTGAACCTGCATTCAGAGGAGTGTTGTAGAAATCGCTTCCATCATCCACAAGCGTTTCTCCAAGCTCGAAGTCATTCGATACTGGTTCAAGACATGGCCGTTTTGCAGGAGGGTCCATAATATCTCCGGGCATTGGCTGGCCCGTAGACGGCATATCTGTCATTACTTAAACTTGTCAACCGTAACAGATAGAAAAGCTGACGTTGTGGAAGTCGTCGTTAGAGTTAAGCTGCATGGAGCAAGTAGTTGTTCTTTTTGCAAATTAGTGCTGAATATT